GAAAGAAGAGAAAGAAATTCTTTCATTGAAAGTTACCGAAAACATCACCTACATTAAGGCTAAGAAGCTTGCCTTTGTATCGAAAGGCTTTTATGCCCAGGCCATGCACAGGGGACCAGCGCGGTCAGTGGTTTCGATGGGAATGCAGACGTCTCCGGACGACAGGCATCTCCCATCACGGTCCCCCTCCAAACCCTTGGGAGCGGTGCCAGTGGCACCTCCTCCGAACCGCAAGGTGAATGCTGTCTCACCAGCATCCACCCTAGAGCAGGAGATGACATCTCCTGCTCAACCAGCTGCTTCGATCTCTTGGGGCTGGGGCCTACCTCCCCACACCTCTGCTCCCCAGAGGAAGCCTGGGGAAGCATCGAGGCATTCAACCTCCAAGGGCCAGCCGCCGGCGGCTGCAGATGAGCCCTTCGACGAGGTTGGGCTGAGATCTGATGAGGAGGCTCTCCTCTCAAGATCAGAGTCCACCCCTTGTGCCTCCGGTGACTCTACTCGGAGGCAGAAAGACCCCCCCCCCCCCCCCCCCCCCTAAAAACACAGTGTGCCGCGTGTGAAAATATATTTTAAGTCCTAAGGAACATACCGTAATACCCTGGGAGATGCCCCGCCCCAAAAAGATAACCACCCCTATTTTTAGCTTGATTTGCTATTTTCTTTTAAACGCCGAAAGATAGCCCACTCCTAGTAAGCGTAGTGTTCAGATTAATAATTACCTCGGCGTAAATGTGACTAGGTAGCTAGGGTGGAATTTAAGCGAACATTGCTGACTAAGAAGTAAAGGCACCTTTGCTGTATTGTCCCTCGCCGCAATAACAAGTTTGGTAGAAAATCGTGATCTAAAAATAGTTTTTTCAACTTTTCTTGGCTGTATACCGAAAGTTAGCCCACTCCTTATTTTCACCCGATTTGCTCTCGATTATAGGTGGGTTATCTTTCGGGATAATACGCTATCTTTTAATGCACTTTTTATGTTATACTTATTTTGTTTTGAATGGTTAAAAATATAGATATGAAGTGGAACTGCCGCGGTCTTTTTCATAATATTGATGATGTTAACTTTTTTTCTCGATGAGCTCCAACCTGTTGCCTTCTGTTTTTACAGGAGACTCATCTTTATGAAACTCATACACACGTACTACGACAACATCAGGATTTTAGAAAATAATGTGTTTCTCGCAACACACCTCTTCTGGTGGAGTAGCCGTGGTTCTGCAGAGTGGTATTGCCTGTGTTCCTGTTCCTCCCGCGACCCCCTTAGAGGCAGTGGTGGTTCATGTTCTCCTTGATGGCCTAATCACACTTGTTTTGCTTTACCTTCCACCAAACCGTCCAGTGCATTTACATGACCTGCAAGGATTGTGGACCTGCTCCCACGGCCGTTTTTAATCTTGGGAGATTTTAATGCACACCACCCCATCTGGGGCAGTGCTCATCAAGACTCCCCGTGGTGGAGTCATAGAACGTTTTAGAGTGCAGCTCTTAGGCACCCGTTTCCGGCTTGAGCGGCGTCGCTGTTGCCGTCGGCGTAATTGCGCAGTGCATTATTGGTAAATTTCCCCGCCAAATTAGCGGTTAATTTTCCCCGCCGAACTTAGCGGTTAATTTTTCCCGCCGAACTTAGCGGAAAAAATTCCCCGCTAAATTTAGTGGAAAACTTTCCCCCCTAAATTTAGCGGAAAAATTTCCCCGCTAAATTTAGCGGAAAAAGTTCCCCGCAAAATTCGGAGAGAAAATTTCCCCGCTAAATTTAGCGGGAAAATCTCTCCACCAAATTTAGCTGAAACTTTCCTCTAAATGGGAGGCAAGCAAGAGAGGAGGAGTGGGCATAGCCTCGCCCCCGTACATTCCCCTCCTCCTCCTCAAGAGCTGCGCTCTAATTCGGCGTTACAGGGGATTGTAGACGTCTTTCATTTTCTTTTTTACTGTCCTCTGGTCTTTGCCTTTTAAACAAAAGATAACAAACTTTCTTTTAGTGCACCTCATAATACCTTTACTTCCGTCGATTTCTCCATATCATCACCTACTTTACTTCCTTGTTTTTCTTGGAAGGTTTTACAAAATCCTTTTGGTAGTGACCATTTTTCTGTCATTTTAGGAAGTGCAGTATCACTTCCTTTTGTTTGAGCTTGCGTCCCCAGGTGGAAGTTAGATAAAGCTGACTGGGCTCTATTTTCTCTGAAGGCAATGGTCGATCCCACTGTTTTTTTAGATACGTCTTGAGGAGGCGACTCTTTACTTTACCGAAAGAATTATAAATGCTGCTTCTGTGTCAGCTCCCCGAAATTCTGGTAATATCCCCAAGAAATGCCAACCTTGGTGGAACAAGGTCTGTACGACACCCATGAAAGCTCAGATTAAGAACTGGGGAAAATGTCGGCGGTACCCGACTGTTCAAAACAAAGGCAAATTCAAACAGTGTAAAGCAAAATCTTGTTGGACACGAAAACAAGCCAAGAGGAACTCGTGGGTGAAATATGTGTCTTCTCTAAACAGTTTTGTTTCTGCAAAAGAGGTATGGGATCATGTTAGGAAAATTCAGGGTACTTACCACTCCTTTGGCATTCCCCTTTTCCCTTCATCATCGCCATCACTAAAAAACCAGGCTAACATTCTTGCTCATTATTTTCGTGAAGTCTCGAGTTCCTCAAATTACACTGCTAAATTTAAAAAGTTCAGGTCCTTGGCAGAAAACGGCTCGAGGTACACCTAAGCGCTTCTCGTGAGTTGTGAATGAGAAAGCATGCGTGCCGTTCTTCTGCTCCCGTGCTTCGTTTGTGGCGTATTTGCATCGGCCGTGCGCGCGCTCTCCCAGCTCTCCTTGCAGCTCTGACCTTGTATGCTTCGTGTTACAGGCGCGCTCGCAATAAGGACACGCAGCGCCATGGAGCGGCGATCGTTGAAGTGGCGGTTGTTACAGTAGGCTTGTGCGAATTTGCGAAACCTTCGATTATTGCTTACAATAACGCAATATTCTATTCTATTTTCGTATCCAATAGTTACAGTACTCGAAAGTTCCTACATACTCTTATTGTTCGTGTTCTGTTTGGGCAAATAAATTGGCCTCGTTGGAGAAATGACAGCCATGATGCAGGCATAAAAAAAAGCATCTGGAGCACAGCCATGTCTCAACTTGCTTTCCAGTTAAATAACCGATTAACTCAAATGCAAAGTGATTTGTCAGATGAGTATTCTCCAAATGTAATTTAACTATTAAAATGTAAAAATAAAACCGCGACCAGTCTATGTTGACTGCCATATCCTGACGAGTTATCGTGCATCATTGGTCGTGACTATGTTTTTGACATTCGAGATTGAGGGAAACTTAGGTGTAGCAACAGTTCTTAATAATCCTGATTAAGAAGGAATACCTTATTGCCAAAAGAGCATTGATTCTTTTTTTTTTTTTGTCAGGTTCCCATCTTTAGCTACCATCTCTATCTAGGCTTTCAACTGTTTGATGGTTGTCAGTAAAACTTAAAAATAAAGGAGCTTCAGCATTAGACGGATGAAAAGGAGTGTATAATCTTAACAAGTTGATTGTAAGAGCACACCTTTAGCTGCCATCTCTATCTAGGCTTTCAACTGTTTGAAGGGGGTCAATGAAACTTAAAACTAAAGGAGCTTTATCATTGGACGAATGGAACGGAGTGAATAATCTTAACAAGTTGAGGTAGATTTTTTAAAGTCGTATATTTAGTGCCCACTTGCTCATTTCGCATTGTCAAAAGTACATGAGAATTCCCATTGATGTTCATAATTAAATAAGAAGCTTTCATTGACAGAATCAGGGATTGCAGTTGTATTACGACCTTCAGAGCTTGAGCAAAATGTTCAATTTTTGTAATCATGCTATTTTCTTCTAACATTATTCCAGTATAACACAATTTTATTTGTTCTCGATTTTAGACCTAAACTTACTATACAAAGATGTTTGTGATTTTTCCTTCACCAATTAGCATATGTTTCAAAAGTGACTGATACAGTAGGCCTTGTTACACGAAAAAGATGACCCTCGTCGCAATTATTTTGCTGCCTCATCTGGTGTTTTCGAGAGCACGCAACAGCCAGTTGTTGAGTATTGGATCGAATCAAACTGTCCTGTGGAGTTAATGCTAACCTAACAAAACAAGGCATTGCATTCGAACTAGGCAGGCCGCCATATAAATCTTAACATAATATTCAGAGTAAAATGAATGTGGGTGAAGTATACGTTCCTGCTTAAAAAGTTATCTTTGCTGCTTCAAGAAGGACTGGCTGCTCCGAAGGGGGCAACAAAACGACTGGGGTCAGTTATGTCACTGAAAATGCAAACTATTAATATTTGATTTTGCTCGCTAGGGAAGCTGCTCAAAGCGTGAAAGCTACAGCGGCGACCAGATACGAGTGCTCGTGCGAAGGCACTTTTCAGTCATGCTCTCGCTTCAGGCACTTTGCTTTGCTGAAGCCAACTTGTAAGATGGAGTGTACAGGGTGTTTAAAATTATGTTTCACACGTTTCTAAAAAAAAAAAAAAACCGTAAAAGCTATGCAGGTGAGTTAAATGGCCCGGCAAAAAAGGGGGGGGGGCATAATCGTCATGATGAGTTGGATAGTTTACTAATATTAGCTAATTATCTTTTTCATTATTGATAGTATACATAGCATTCAAATTAGAAACTTCCTGAGCGGCATCGAAAAATTTACCACTTGTGCTAAAGGTGCTATGTTGGCTGTGCGAACACGCAGATAATTTTATCCGCGTTTTCTGGTGGCATATTGAAGTTTATCTAAATATTTTATATTGCACAAATTGCTTTCTACAATATAATTGGCTTGTAGTCTCATTCCACTCTTCCTTTAAAGAATTGCCACGCTTCTTCAAGCCCAATGTTTCTCAGAATTGCGACCAGCAAACCATATAATTCGGAAAGCTTTTATTACTTAGAAAATGTGTTGTGACAATGCAGAAGCCTGTTCCATATTATCTTACTGTTTTTCTTTTCTTTCTTCAGGTACTTACAGTGACCATGCCCCTTCTGCCAAGCCAGTGCTGACTTGCAAGCTGAAAAGGATCTGGTGCTCGAAAGCCGGTTAATAAAAAGTTTGATTGTAACATGGCGGTCGGCTGTGATGTCCTAATTTTAAAGCACCACCGGGAATTCCATTTGAACTTCCGTTTAAAACACACAAAGAAAACACCTCATGTATGAAAAACTGCGACGTAATGCATCAAACGAATAAATGCAAAAATGTTCCAAAAGCCGGGAAGCCCGGCTTTTGGAACATTTTTTGCATTTATTCGTACTGCATACGGCATTGCTACCCTGGGACACCTGAGAGAGTACCTCAACCAAGCAACCAAGATTATCCGCTTGGAATATTTAACTTACCATCCAGGACGGACGTAAAAAGAAGTTGAAGCGAGGGCAGACGATGATAATGTCTCCCGTATGCCATGGACGAAGAAGTCGGCAGAACCAGCGCCACGGATGAAGAGAAGGAAGAAGAAGCGTTGGATTTCTGGTAGCTAGTCGGGTGTTCCCAGGCCGCACTGACGATGTCTCCCGTATAGGAGACGAAGCGTCTGATAAATGTTGATATTGTTATGCAAGTCGGAGGTATTTGTTTTTAATCATGAATCCCGGCTTTTGGAACATTTTTGCATTTATTCGTACTGCATACGGCATTGCTACCCTGGGACACCTGAGAGGGTACCTCAACCAAGCAACCAAGATTATCCGCTTGGAATATTTAACTTACCATCCAGGACGGACGTAAAAAGAAGTTGAAGCGAGGGCAGACGATGATAATGTCTCCCGTATGCCATGGACGAAGAAGTCGGCAGAACCAGCGCCATGGATGAAGAGAAAGAAGAAGAAGCGTTGGATTTCTGGTAGCTAGTCGGGTGTTCCCAGGCCGCACTGACGATGTCTCCCGTATAGGAGACGAAACGTCTGATAAATGTTGATATTGTTATGCAAGTCGGAGGTATTTGTTTTTAATGCATCAAACGAAATTTATTGGACAATCTTATCGCATGAACAAAAATACCACACCACCCGTAATTTCTTGTTTCTGCTTGCCTCCAAAACCTGAATGATGAGGGTACCGGAAACGTTATTTATTTCCATCAAAACGGATACACTCAGGTTCTCTTGACTCGAGTTGACCGAGCCGTAGGGGATCCAATATAATATGGCCAGCGCCGTACTTACCGAACCCATCGCAGGCCCAAACAAGATGGCGCCGCCCCATGGTTTCGGTGGGTCGCCCTCTTGATTTAGCACCGCCATCAAACCTCAGGGGATTCAATTGGCGCCGTGGACGCCCATTTCCCATCCCACAGGTGGTAAGCACTATAGACCTATTTCACAAGTGTGCCTCTTGAAATAACGACACTTCCAGTATGGGCAAAAACATTGTTTTGCCGTCGCCACGCCAATAGAAGACGTTTAGGATATAATCGTCTCCGTCAAACATTCTCATTTTGCCCCTTTATTTTTTTACTATTTACAGGTTGAAAAGTTTTATTTCTTCTTCGTCGCCCGTAACGGATACGCCTATATTAGGTGGCTGGGGACGAGAGTACACGAAAAACGTCTATATATCTTCCATTTTGTCCTTAGCCCGAGACGTAGGCCTGGTTCACACTTAGAGCTAAGCCGCTGCCGCCGAAGCGGAATCGGCCGCGGCAATGCACAGTGGACGCTACGCCCGGCGGCTGAATTCTTGCAGATTCGCCCGCCGATTCGCAAGTGTGAACCAGGCCTGAGGCAGAAAAAGAGGAAAGTCTCAAAGTAGAAGGAAAAAAAAGTAGAAGAAAAATGAACAGTCCTCGACTGTTCATTTTCCTTCTACTTTGAAACTTTCCTCTTTTCCTGCCTCAGTCTCGGGCTAAGAACAAAATGGTTAACATCCACCAGCTCGCCTGCGCTATCACTACTTTTTCATTTATATATCTTCGTTCGGTGTGCCTGCACCAGTGCAGAAAAGTGTAGCGCGGTGTACTTCTGGCCGTACCTTAATACACATACTCAGCCACCGTCACTCATAAAGTAGTCACATCACTAACACCAATTTATTTTTCCATTAACTTAGCGAAAACTCACGACGTGTGACCTTTGTACCAAGTAAGTTTTTCTGCTTCCATTCGCGCTGGAATTTATTATAATGTAGGTGCTTCACTCGTCAAAACGGCTGCTAAAGGTCTACTAAACAAATTTAAACGATCGCTCCATAAATATTGCATTTTATGCATTATTGAAATTTGGAAATAAATGCCGCTGTAACTTTTACGCTGCAGGTGACTATAGTATCGAACTCTTAATTCCGATCACTAATCCGACCGTCAAAGAAGTGAGAAGTGTTGCGTTCCAGTGGTCATCCGGGCTCAGAGCTATCCGCGCAGCCCTTGAGGCAGTTCACCCGGATCGCTAATAAGGTTCGGTGCCGCTCCACCTACTCACTCGCTAAACTGATTAATTAAAACTTGCTCATTGTTGTTCTGAAGGAAACGTTGGGTCTTGTACACTCAAATACGTTTTTAAAAGCAAAAATACATTATGTGTTTAACATGTGTAGCGTATACGAGTAGTGAGTCAAGAGCCCAAGATGTCTCATGCACCCAAACATTGGCAATCGAAACGAACAGTGCGGTTTACTCTGTTTACTTTATCGTAGCAATAAAATAACAATCGCTCAACACATTATTGAAGAAGTAGAAGTTTTTTAAGTGGTCCGCACGACCTTCATTCATCCATAGGACCCGCTTTTAGAATCGCGGAAGGTAGCCAAGGGTGGAAAATGCGAGGTTTATTCTCCCTCTCTCTCTCGTGTATTTATTTCAGTGAGACCTCCCCAAGATGTCTGAATGAGATAAACGCACGTCAAATGACGTTGCAATTGTGTGCCTTTCCCCGTTTAGCCCTTAAGATGGCATTAAATGCGAAGATTTTCGTTTTGTTCTCTTGCTCTTGCTATATCTAAAGCTTACTGACCATTTTCGCTCTTCCGGCTGCTGGTTAAGCGAATGATTTATTACAAAGTACAATCCGCGTATTGTTTTTATTTGTTAAGTATTTACTCACTGATTCTCTACATATAGCGTCAACGAGATAGCCCGCGAAGGTTTAAATAAGTGAGTAATTTAAACGCAAAAAATGTACCCTCATGATTTATCTTTTTGATTTTTTTTTTAAATCAAACCTGAGTGTATAACATAATTTTTACTAATTTTTTCCTCTATGAACACAAAGAGGTGACCCTCAGCATTGAAAGTACAATACAAAAAAAAAAAAAAAAAACTCCCGTAAAAATAATATTTATTTCCCTCCGATGTAGAAGAGTTAAAGTATCACTAAGTCTTCGTCGCAGGCGTATGTGGTATCGGGTTTGAAGGAATGGTGTATGTCTTGAGTGCCGAAGACCTTCCACGGCACGTCTGATTATTGTACTCCGTGATGACAGTTTCAAGCGACTCGCTTGACCTGACTCCCGTAAACGTTCCTTTAGCAGTGTATAGGAACATATTGTTTCCTGCGTCCGTAAGACGGGAATCTTGGAGATTGAAAAGGTTGTAATACCACAAGAAGCCACCTTCGAGCTTTTCCTTGTACTTGATAGCAATTTCTCCGGTTGCGGTCACGGTGGACGTCCAAGGAATCTTCTGTATAAAAAAAACAATATTAACACAAAGATTTAATTCACTAATCGGAAGAAATAACTTACTCGTATTAGCTGATAGACGACCAACAACCTGAAGTCACTGCGGGATCAACGTATTTTCCTACTTATTCCACAAAATAAAAATGACGATTGCAACAATAATGCGCAGAGCAGGTCGTCTGCTTCCTGCACAGGAGTTCCGGTGACGTCAGAAAGAGGCCGAGCTCTGATTGGCTCTGATTGAAGGATAGTGGGTAGAATTCAAAGCAAGCTGCCTTGAGTGCTTTCTTCAGAACCAATCAGTGATCGGTGTTTTGACGTCACTACAACCGCCACAAGACAAACGAACTTGCGCTTCGCCCCATAAGTAGGACAATAAAACCTTGAGCCATAAAAATGTGCCGTTCACGTTTGTGCCAATCATTCAACTAATCAATTAGTCAAACAATCACGCAGAGTGAGTGAGTTGTGATCCTGTACATAAGTGCAACGAGTCCGTGACGATGCACTTTCAGCGCTGCTGGATTGGCTGCGGTCGGATTTAGCAGTGTTTCCGGTCGGACCTTATGTGGAATGGAGCATGAACAAACGGCAGCAAAAACACTAGGTCACGGCGTTTGTTATTTATTTGCGTGTTGTATCATCGGCTAAATTAATGAAGCGCAGTGAATGCGTCTTGACCTCGTGTTTTTAGTCTCTATGTTCGGCCACAGCCTTTGATTACCTAAAACGAAAAAAAAAAAATCTCCCTCGTCCTTTTGACCTTTGGTTCACTTGCGCTCAATGATATATTACCTAGGTCAACATAACCTAACTTGTAAGTCAACTGCATTGCTCAAGCGAATCACGATCCCTGTTATGGCCATTTCTTCAATGAAATTCATCCGGGCGTAACTTACCGTCACGGTTTCTGTGATGACCCAGTCAATCTTGACGGACTTCATGGGAGGCACGGTAACGACCTCATGTAGCGAGAATGTATCCGTGTCGGAGACTTGTTCACGGTATCCCCCTTCCAAGTCTAAGCTTATTTTTTGCTTGTGGTTAACGTACACAATCAAAATCCTGGCATTGGCTTTCACGGAGCCGGAATAACTGAAACCCCTTTCAACGTGCCAGGTGGCTGTCGTCATGTGCTTGATCTTCCCTTCAACGGTGATCTGGGTCGAAGATGCCTGCCCATTGTGGATGCATTGAGTACTATATACCACGTTTCGTTTCTTTGCTGAGGTCTTTGCTGCTCCGTACACCACAGGTCCCGCTGTCGCAGTCACCCTGTGGATGTAGAAGAGCTTGTCAACTTCTCTGCTTTTAATGGCATCCTGCATCGCGACAAGAGACATGGGTCACAGGTTTTGGAAAGATGGATGCTACTGATTTTGGCAATTTTTACCAGCGCCGTTTCTCTTGAAATTTAACAACCTTCTCGGGGTGGGTATTTCGATTTTCGCTCTAAAATATATATATGTAGTCTTGAAAAAGGTATATCTGAGACCAATACGCAGACTGATTCTACGAATAAATAATATTTTATAAAACTCCAAAAAACCGTCTCAAGTACGTTTTTCTGCCGACTATACTTTCGAGCATCCTGCGCTACGTTTTTTTTTTTTTTTTTGCGCACACACTCTCTCTCTCTCTCTCTCTCTCTCTCTCTCTCTCTCTCTATATATATATATATATATATATATATATATATATATATATATATATATATATATATATATATATATATATATATAACATCAAGTTGCGGTGATCCATTTAAACAAATTTGGATGGTTGAATCCGGCCAAGGTGAAGTGGTGTAGAGGTTAGTACAAAAAAAAAAGGTGTGGAGGTTAGCACACCCGACCGGACATTGGGAGGCCCAGAGTTCAAATCATGGCTCCGCCATTATTTTGGCTTTCGGCGGGTTCCTGAAAACTTTAATTCTTTGATTTATTGGATTAAGTACGGTTCATTAATCTGCATATGTTCGTTTATATCCTCGGAGACCACGTACGATGGTGGGAAGTGCCCGTGTTGTATATATATATATATATAGAGAGAGAGAGGGATATGTATATGGGTGCGTCTGTGTATGTGTGTGTATTATATCCTTCCTAACATAATGAAAATAAAAACAAAATTTAGAAGCTTTCTAAAAAAAAATTTTTGCACAAAAAAGCTTTTAAGTAGAGCAAGGTGAAATATGCCACATTTTGACTGCGTAATTTTAGTACCCATTGCTGTCGGTTATCATGAATAGGCACAAACGCAAACACACACTATACGTTTTGCTCTAAATGTACGACGCATGGCCTACATCTTTTAGAGCGCAGCTCTTAGGCGCCCGCTTCCGGCCTGAGCGCCGTCGCCGTCGCTGTCGGCGTAACCAAGGTCACGTGACCCCAAGGCCGCGTGACCCCTCCCCCAGGGTCACGTAACCCCCCTCCCTCGAGGTCATGTCACTCCCCCCTTTCCCGAGGTCACGTGACCTCCCTCCCTCGAGGTCACGTGACTCCCCCTCCCCGAGGTCACGTGACCCCCTCCCTCGAGGTCACGTGACCCCCTCCCTCGAGGTCACGTGACTCCCCCTCCCCGGGGTCACGTGACCCCCCCTTCCCCCGAAGTCACGTGGCATCCCCCCCGAGGTCACGTGACCCCTTCCCCCCGTCGGCGTCGGCGTAACCGCGAGTAACCCTCGTGAGGGTTACGATGGTTACTCTCACGAGGGTTACTCTCACGAGGGCTATGAGGGTTACTAGCCCTCGTAACCCTCACGAGGGTTACGAGGGTTAGGTGCCCTCAAAAGGGTTACCATCACGAGGGTTTGAGAGTTACCCTCACGAGAGTCACGAGAGTTACCCTCACAAGGGTTACTAGGGTTACCTTCACGAGGGTCATGATGGTTACCCAGGTCACGTGACCCCCCTCCCAAGGTCACGTGACCCCCGTTGACGTCATCGCCACTAATGACGTCATCTGTGACGTCACTGATGACGTCACCGGCATCCGCATCGTCATCTTCATCACTGATGACGTCACCGGCATCCGCATCGTCTTCATCACTGATGACGTCATCAGTGACGTCATCTGTAACGTGACTGATAAAGGCATCGGCATCGTCACGAGACCCCCTTGATGTCACGTGACACCCCACGGTCACGTGACCCCCACAAGGTCACGTGACCCGCCAAGGTCACTTGACCCACCCCCCAGTGCCCTTCTCCCCTCCTCCTCAAGAGCTGCGCTCTAATTCGGCGTTACAGGGAGTTGTAAACGGCTTTCATTTTTTAAATTTAAATTGCTGTGCTATATTTTATGTCAGAAATGAAAACTTAAAAAGTTCGAATCTTTCACGATTTGGTAACATAATATAGTCGGTGACAGGTTGAGGGTTCAGGTCCGGGGAAAGGAAAGCTGGGGAGGAGGGAGCAGATGGATTGCTGGAGAGAAGAGAAGGAAATAACCCTCTTGCTCCAGCATTCCGTTCTTTTTCCTCCCCAACCTTCCTTTTCCTCGCCCTGAACCGTCAACCTCTCACCGACTATAGTATGCTACCAAAACGTGAAAGATTCGAACTTTTCAAGTTTTCATTTCTGGCATAAAATATAGCGCAGCAATTTAAATTTTAAAAAGATGTCATGTCCATACATTTACAGGAAAAATTATAGTGTACGTGTTTGCGTTTTTGCCTATTACCTGTTACCGACTGTAGGAGCTCTGCATCTTAGGATTTGTCACAAATTTTTCTTACTAACGTGCTATCGACCATTACTACATTATCTCAATTTTTTTACGTGATAATTTATATAACCTTTAGATTCCTTGAAAATATAATATTCGCCATAAATTGAGGCCACTATATTACAAATGCAATTTTTTACTTCTCGAGTACCACTTTCTTTTATTTTCGCCCATTATTTTAATTTTTATGAGAGTCATAAAAAAATGTTTTGTTGTATTTTTTGTAGAAGACCTCAGACACAGGTATATGTACCCAAAGGGGAAAAAGCGCAGTTTCGCAAGTTGGCTTTCCTGCATAAACTTTTCGACAAAAAAAAAAACAACAAAAAACGAACGCTTTTTTAAACAGCTTGTTTGAGACACGCGTGTCAAGGAAAAAAATAATGCGTTTTTTTTTTTTTCAATAGCAATATTGACGGCGAGAGATTTATTTGAAATTCTGCGTGCAAAGTCCATGACCTCACGGGCCATTCCAGAATGACCATCTCAGTCCTTCGCTCTTTCCACCTCAACCAGAAGGCGAAGCCGATCCTCCTCTACTCCAAGCGCCCGGAATCCCGAGAAAAAACAAGTGAAAAGGTGGTGACTATAGTATGCATATATTGTCACAGTAAGGCCGGTATGTACAGTTTCATAGTAAGACCAGTAAGCACAGTTTCAGTTTGTCCAGTTCAACCAATTTAACCAGTGGGAAATAAACCTGTTTGAACTGGCCCAGCTAGCAAAATTTTTCAGTAGGGCCGGTAACTGCCCTGCTGTTCCGGGTTGAATTTCTATCGTATAGCCAAGCTTGGCTGACCACTCGGCCACTAACCTGGTCCATGCTGTATATACAATAGAGAGTCAAGCTTGGAGTACCACTGAGCATCCCGCCTGGCCCAGGCCATAATTCCAGCGGTGAGCCAGTTCGTGGCTATACAGGGAACTGCCGGTGGTCGCCACACTGGCATACCAGGATGGGGCTGCCTAGCGCCATGGGGCAAAACAATCTAGGTCCACTGAAACTTCTCCGGCTGCCCAGTCTGGCTCAAGCTTGAGCGGGTCATAATGTGCTGCTTGGGTAGCGACTAAATCGGGTCTCGCGCCGTCAAGATTGGTCTAAAATGTTTTCTTTTTTTCACGTAATTTTTTTTAAACGCGTGTTCAACCTAGATTGTTAATTTTTTTTTTTTTTTTTTTTGAAGGGGTAATAAAAAAAATAAGGATAGGCAGCTCGAAAATGTTTGGGAGGTGAAGGGGCGACGGAATGCGGTGGTGAAGGAGTGGGAAGGGGAGAGAGTAATGGGGACGGGCCGCCATTAGAAAGAAATGTCTGGCCGTTCCGACCCATGTCTTACTTCATTTTTTTTTTTTTTTTTTTTTTTGAGAAGGGGTGTGGGGGTCGGAGAACCTTTAAATTAGAACACTTTAGTTTGGCAGCATACTTTTTTTATCTGCGTTAGTACCTTTAATTATTTTTTTGTCTCTCATATCGTCTGTAATTATCTCCATGTTGTAAACTGTATTGACTCTCCACATGAGTGTGTGTGTGTGTGGGGGGGGGGGGGGGGGGGGGATACCCATGTTTTGCACAAAGAGAAGGAAAATTGTAGGAGAGTACTGAGTGAGACCGTGCCCATTTTGACTTCTGGCAACTATGTAAGCACACCGTCCTTGGCACTGTGTGGTGATATGAAGTGTCTTTTTATCTCTTTAAAGTCTTGCTTTGTAGGTTCTCAAAGAATAGCAAGGGTTATGCTTATCTTGCCTGTTATCGTATGCTGGTCACGTTCGTTGCTCACATAAATACACGCTGTGTTTGGGACTTCTGGTTTTTGTCTTTTTTTTTTTTTTTATCGTTCCGTGTCTTCGGTTACTATGGAAGTTCTTCACCATCTCGCCCCTGTATTTACCCTTTCTCATCTGCATGCCCTATTTTTGGTCCCCGAAGAATGCACCGACTTGTTCTGAACGGATGCTAAAAAACATAAGACGAGATTGCAACCGGCAGTCTTGATGCTGCAGCTATCATTCCCATCCCCAGCTTGATCACTTTATATTCGAAGTTGTTTTTGGCCAGCTATGTCAATGCCTCTCGTTCACGGATTTGTTCGAGCATTTACGAGGCGACATAACAAGCAGCTATATCCAAATTAACGTTTTCTGTCTGTGAAGAACCTCATCAACCTGGAACTGCTCAGGCCAACCTTGTTCCATAACGGCCCTGCTACGATGAGGAATACAAACGTGCTGTAGTCAGAATATCATCGCACGTCTGGCTGAAAACTTTCTGCATCAGTGCAAGTAAGTTGAGTTTAATTTTGTGCCCAAGTGTTGTTTCCAGGCATATGCTTATGTACTATGTACTTAAAGCGGGAAATTCCTGGCGGCGGACCAAGGCACGATTCCAAGAAGATTTTCGTCACGGAACAATGAACAATTAAAACAGTTAGAGCTGAAAAAAAGTAAGACAAACTAAAGGTCGCGGTCTGTCTAAAGGCTTTAAAGAAATCAGCCGTTGCCTATTAAACAAGATCAAGCAACTGAAGCGTCTCAGCTGATCGCTCCTGCCTCGCGTGTGGTAAGTTTTTGTTTAATGTGCGATGATAATTGGGGTTGTGTGGATATTTATACAACGTGTATAAATCA